CGAAAAAGGGGCATAATTCTGTCAAAATGCTTGATAGAGATACCTCCTCCTGTCTACAGGTTGAGGTCATGATGGTGAACAAGTGTGCAAAGTTTCAAAGCCATATGTCTATGGACTTTGAAAATATTTGAACTATTACAAAAACTTTAACGTAAATTCTAAGTCGAAAAAGGGGCATAATTCTGTCAAAATGCTTGATAGAGTTACCTTCTCCTGTCTACAGGTTGGGGTCATGATGGTGAACAAGTGTGCAAAGTTTCAAAGCCATATGTCAATGGACTTTGAAAATATTTGAACTATTACAAAAACTTTAACATAAGTGGTTACGCCGACGCCGACGCTCGGGTGACTGCAATAGCTCTACTTATTCTTATCGAATAGTCGAGCTAAAAAATCAGAACAACGAGGTGAGCGCAGTAAAGTCGCAAACATCGCCCCAGCATCGCCCCAGCATCGCGATGGCATCGCAAAGAACGCCGACCGACGGCGCGCATTTTGAGCATGCTCCAAACAAACGCCGTCACTCGGCGTTATGATAAGAGCGCTGTGGGATCGCAGTAAGGACACCGTAAAGACCACCCCTTTTATACATTTTTAAGATCATTAGTTTCAGTCCCAATTCATTGTTGTATTTATCTAAACTTATTATTGAGACAAAAACCACAGATATTCCAGTCAATACCTATTCAGATCACAAGTATGTTGTGATTCATCTGCATGAATTTCCTTGACACCGCATGACACTTGATGAAACAAGGTGTTGAAACTGTTATGATTGGAAAATTGTATAAAGGTGAGAAAATAAACTTCCGAGTGGTTTATTGTTACTTTCTGCACAGGTATTTTGTGAAGAATTAATTTCTTAATTAAATCTTATAGGTAAATTACGTACATGAAACAAGACGTATGAAAATTTAATTTTTGATATTAAATACCTTCAGACTTATGTTCTAATTAGGAATAAATATTATAACATCAGCTTATAGTAATATAAAAGGTTATGATATAATTGTTTAAACATGTTTACACATAAAAATTCAAATAAAGCGGTCATGAAATGTATATGCCTTGATAATTATATCTCCAATTAAGACTACTCGCACCACTTAAGCTCAGCCCCTTTGGCGGTCTTAATAGAGGGATTTCACTGTATATATAAAATGTGCATGCAAGTAAATGTCTTTTTCACCATGGATGATGAACGGCAGCAAGCTGGAATATTGCTTGATTGCATGCAGGTGCAGCAGGTACACGACTATTCAGACGTGAGCACGATTTCAGCGCAGTGTGAGCGCCGCGAGAGCGCCATTTGAGCGCCGTGAAAGCGCAGTGGAAGCGCAAAGAACGCAGAAGAAACGCAGTCCGAACGCAGACAATGGCCAATTAAAACGCCGTAAGAACGCACTACAGCGCCATGGAAGCTCCGTAGCAACGCCATGTTCGCTGTGAGGACGCCGTGAAGACGTCGTGAAATCTCCACGTCAACAAAAATATCAGATTTTTCTTGCGATCTTGCGGCGATTTGTTAAATTTAGATGTTAAATTTCTGATCATTTGTGAGATAAATAGTAATCCGTACCTCCAAAAGGGGTCGCATATCCTTGGGAACTTAAGTTATTACTCACATATAATCTCTATTACATGTATATTTATAGACATCAACGAACCACCATGCCTCTATAATGCGTTTCAATATTGACAAATGTTGATAAATAATCATCAACATATATATAAATAAAACACTCCTTTTAATAATATGATGTCTAAATAATATAAATATTTATAGTATTTCTTCAGATGCCTAGTAACCATGTCGCTTTATGTACTATACATTCTATATCATCGTGTTGCTACATGTAATTAGAGTTAATCAAATATTTTGCTTTTCTCTTTTGTTAAAATATTAAACATTATAATGATAAACTTTTTCATACAACTGATATTGAAATCAGATAATATATCTGATTTATGGTGGCTGATTTGGAACGCTTTTGTGCGTCGTGTTGGCGCTAGCGACACATGACAAAGCGCCAAACGGTGATTACCTCCTTTAACTGCCTTCACAGACGTCTCATGATGATGAAAGTCACATGACATAATGTCGAAATTCAAATGTATTATCGACCATTACATAAAAATCTAACGTCAGTTTTCTCTTTCTGTTTTATTTTAACTATTCGTACCTACATTCGTTATATTTTATCAAAAAATTATCAAAAGTATGCAAAATAATGAAAAATAAATCCAAAAGCTAAAAATTATGAAATATCAAAATATTGATAAAAATGTTTGTGATGGCAGAGATCTCTGTACTGATAAGGGGAGAACACTGCGTAGGAGATTGGGCCTGTCGCTTAGTTTACGATGTACGCAAAACGGTGCGTTGTCGTGCGGCGTGTTGTCATGATGTCACATTGTCGCTCGGTTCAAATCAAAGGATTGGCTTATAAGCCGCACGACAGGGCGACATCGCGATAACGCGCCGCGATAACGAGCCGTTTGGCGCTTTGTCGTGTTGTCGCTAGTGACAAGACAAAAAGTCTATGAAGATATGAGATGCGTTTTCGCTATCGACAACGCAACGCGCAATGTACCAAATTAGCCACCATACTGATCACATTATCAAACAATACTTGGAAATCTTCAACAGATATCAATTTAACCTTTTTATAAATTTTGCTCGAACGACGGTTAATTTTGGTATATCTGTTTACATTATCAAACTGTACTTTGTGACTCTTCAGTTTTCTGCCTTGTCCAATTGTTCGAGCTGATCCGGTGATCCGGCTAACCAGAGATAATACAGTTAAACCTGATCGTAGATGGGGTGTTTAACTAATATCAAATTAAATAATAAAATAAACCAATGATCTTTTTGAACAGTAATTTCTGTATTATCTCAGGCTAGCCTTTTGAGCTGGAAGCGAATTTCAGCCAGCCTGAACAAGCAGAGCAACCGGACTAGGCAAAACTTGTTCCTTCTGCTAGGGCTGTCAGATTAACGTCACGAACATATTTAAGTAAAAGAAAATTAAATAAAAATAAAGAAACTAAATTGGTCGGTATTCTTTTCATATTTTTCATATTTTGTTCTTTTGTTTTCACTTTGTTTATTTTTCCTTTAAAACTGAAGCTTAATGACATATGTTACAGTTGCACATGTATATTAATGAAATAATAAATTTGTTTTACCATTGATTAATTTTTTTTATATCTTTATACAAAAGATTTGTACGTGCGAGTTGATATAGTGAAAAGGGGAATGGTCTACAATGGGCACAATTTTCATCAGTATCTTCAATAACGATAGAAAAGATAAAAATGTATTATTTTGATATTCTTATACAAATATTTCTTGAATAATGACATATTAACATTAATATGAACATTTTTTATATGATGAATTACAATATTTTGTTCTGCAACAATTTATTATTGTTATAAATATAGATATTTATAGATTTGTCAGATTATGTATCCCACACTCATCAACAACACACATATATAATTCATTCGTGGTGTGTTGTTATGTCTAATACTTGAAACTATCAACACAATTATTAATGTAATTACAAACCTTCGATTATGGACCTATTGACTTTATTAATTTATATAACCAAAACTTTTTAAATGATAGTATTATTGAAATATAAATAGCTTAAAAGTTTCTTTCCCCCACCGCAAAATGGTTTGTGCGTTGTACATGTTGTTGTTGTGGTAGTTTACCCTCAGTTTGAATCACCAGAGAACAGATAAACTACGACATCGTTCATGGGCAGACTGTCAAGCAGTTAACTAGTAAAAATTGTCTTTACTTTTGTAAATAACGGAACAAGCCAAATCAAAGGTACAGTGCGAATGACGGTAGAAAGGATTTCATAAACTATCACAACGTAAGTTACATGCATTGTCCGGGCATCGATACAGGGTCGACCGATTCACAGCCGAATGCTCTACCTATTGAGCTAACCGGACAGTTACCTAATAGGACATAGCAGACGACACTATTATCTAATAGTCTTAGGTCTAAAATATCTGACTTCATTCAACTTTTAAATAACAATGTTCACCATACAATAAGTAATATCATTTTCCAGTGATGTTTTAGCGTATATAGCTTGAGATGATAATAATGTGTGAAATTAGTAAATAGTGGAAAATAATGCTTCATTGAATTGTATCTTTTTATTATATTACGTAATATCCTTTCTTGGTTGTAAACTGGTGAATTTTAAAATGATTTTATTCTATTTTGTTATTGTCGGGTTGAGCTGACTTGTCTATAATATATAAACAAAGATTGACTTTTACAATGATGATCAACAGTTGATGTAGAAAAGTCTGAAATATAAATCTGCTTAAAATAACAAATGAATGCTCCACTCTTTTTGTAAAGTTATTTATCGTTCATGTGAAGAAAATTATATAATTGAAAGGTGTTATGGCAAAACATGAACTTATATTGACTTTCACTGGTTCAGTCACTATATATCCTTGGATATTTTGAAGACTTTTTCTTACTGACGAAAAAAATAATTTTTTAATAATTTACGTTCAAATTAACGTATGTCCATAAGTGAATATATACAGTAAAGTAAAAACGAAGGAAAGAAAAAATGGGAAACATTTTATTATATTCAACTTGTAAATTAAACATAACTCTTCCGGAATAAAAATCAATCACTAAAGGGAGGTGCGTCAAGATTTCCTCATAAGTAAACTTTTTATTCGATTGACAGACATCATTTCAAGACCGTCTATAACAGTTTATTAAAGACTTAGTATGTACTGAAATCCTTCCAAAAATATATGTACATAAATAACAATCGGTGTCAATGAAACAAACTATTGACAGAATATTTTCCAGCCACCATTTTGATTTCAAACGACATTATCATATAAACATTATTTTGAACAATTACTCTATAATATCCTTTCAACTGTTACATCGAAACATGTATAAGTTCAAACTAAATGTATACTTTTCATCATGATGTAACTTAACACCAGTCAACCTTAAAGATTTTTATCCGATGTTTTGGATCATAAGGCCCTGTTTCAGAATAAGACACATAAAGTCTTCTAGACTTCCTACAATATGCCACAGCTCTAGGAAACCAACTGCCAAGTTCACCATTTATCGTTATTTTACATGGCTTACAGCTGTCTGATACTCTCCGCAAATTGTCGTCACTATTTTGAGCCAAACAGACAAGAAATGTGCCATCATTTAATTCACAAATACCTCGTAGATAGTTTCCTCCCTGTGCTGGTTGATATGTATTTATAATGTTTCCCTGCCAGTCTAGTTGTTTTACAGCATTCACAGTAGAACCACAGTTACTAACATATATAGACGTTCCAGCTGTATTCACGGTGACATACTGGGGATAGCTGAACAGACTTTTATCTGCGTTTAACCGTTGCAATATTTTACCTTGCAGGTCCAGAATTAAAACTTTCCCTGGATTAACACAACACAACAATTTATCTTGGCTGTAAGCAATACCATAACAGTCCTCGTTGATATTTACCTTACGTTCAGAAACTATGTGTTGATTTCTCAGCAACATGAAATGAATACTTGTGCCATCAGGTACAGTAACGACAAACTTATCATCCGTTATAGCTGCAACATCAAATGGTGACTCAGTTAATTCTATCTCTGAAACAATTTTTTTCTGAACTGTATCATAGCATTTTATATTTTTATTGCTGCTGTTATCACAAATAACTATCTTATCGGGCTTAATAACTTCTATACCGGTTATGTCACATTCTGTGTTACCCGATAACGAATTCAAATCTATATCTTCAACAACCTCAATATTTAGCATCTTATCCTCAGACGGTGTTGATGTAGGTTTCATCATTGGAACATTTTCACCCATGGATGTTTTCATCGTAAGTTCTCCCAGTTGCTTGTGTCTATCTAACATATCGACAATATCACTGTTTTTGACATATGATACAGTCTTGAAAACATCTTCACGACTATATTGTTTTTGCTTCAGCCTCATTTCTTCAACTCGTTTCTTTGTTTCTTTCATTTCAACAAACAACTTATTAAGGCAATTTTTCTGTATCAGGTTATCAATTCGTTTTCGTTTTTCAGTCAGTTTATCTGTGATTTCTTGTACATCTGATGATAAATCATTTAGATTTGTTTGTTGTTTAAGAAGTATGTTGTCAGCTTCTTTGACAACATATTTTTCCATTTCATCTAGACGTGTATTTATTTCTTTTCTGAATTGATGAATCGCCTTTATTACGCCATCGTGGTTTTGAGAAATAGCTTTCAACTCATCTTTTACTCTCTTTATTTGTGATTTATAACTATCCTCCAGTGCTTTCATTTCTGCCATTATTTCATTAAGTTCTTCACTGTCTAGAAAATGCTTCGAGAGTTTCGGTATGTATTCCACATTACATAACCTGTGATTCAGCGTTACACAAACACTGCAAACAACGATGTCATGATCTTTGCAGTAGAATTTCAGTTTTTCGTCTTCATGATCATCACAACTATCAAATTCGTCTTTTACGATTGGAACGCTTGGTGTAGTTGGCATAGAGTCTTGATCTAGTAGAATATGATGACGTGATGGAGTTTGTTTCTTGTGGTGCTTGTAACAAGTGTCACATAGATGTTCTTTGCAGGTTAAACAATAACCTTTTGCTGGTACCCGGACACCATCTCTATCACACGGGATACAGAACAAAAGGAAGTCCTCAGCAGAGCCCCGTGAAGCAGAAAATGTCTTTTTTGGTTTTTGTTTACCAGGAACTTCCATTGTTGGTTCGTTCTGAAATTTATTTATTAATGACAGTTCAAAATAATATGGATGTTAGCACCATACTGGATGTAAGCACCAACTTTTAACAACAAATAAACAAATTATACAAAATACAACGATCTTACTTCTATTTTTAGATTAATAGTTTCTTTATTCATTGCCCTGAGTTGTCAAGTAGTATGTCAATCTCACCAATCAATTAATATAAACCTGATAACACATACATGGATTTGCAATTTATTCATTCGTAATTTCAAACATTAAAAATAACAATAAATGCGAAGATTAAAAAAAAAGAACTACATTTTAATGGTAATCAAATAGTCAGTCATCGTAATGCATGAAAAGTGTTATTGATACAACTTAGGTGTTTCTTTTTGTTGTTGTTGTTTTTCCAAAGAATTATACCCGGCCTATGAAATGCGTAATTACGTAATTAGCCGGAAAAAAAGAGAAAAAAGAAACGTGACAATACATTGTGTCCGTAATCATAATCAAAACGCTTATTAAGTTTGTATAACATTGTAAAATTCCTTAGTAAAATTGATAAACGCGGAACAAACTGGTACACACTCTTCATATTGAAACAATATACTATTTTATTACATACTTCTAAATGAAGTCTTGAGAAATATATATGAAATAAAATGCGTATTTTCTTTTTTTCCATTGTCTGTATTGAGTGAAACATATTTTTCCATATTTTGTTCTGAAAACTTGCGACTTCTTGCTTCTTAATTCGACCAATACACAAAATTAAAGGAGAAGTCTTCAGAGTTGTAAGGTCAAAAAAGGGAACACATATATAATAAACAGAAAATTCAAGTTCTTTTCTATTCATATAGAAGTTATTCAAGTTTTTTTTCAATAAATATAGGATTTATTTTTACTGAGTGAAAATAAATATTCCAAGAGTGATTGATGGTAGTCACGAGTGATATATGATAATTTTCAAACCACAAGATGAAAATAAATCATGTATTAATAAAAAAAACTTAACTTATCTGTTTATTATATACTTTTTTTTCTTCTTTTTTTGTGTAAAGGCAGAATTTAGAAACATAGTAGTCCGGCAAGACACCAGTGAAAATACGGAAAATATGTTTCATTGCAGTGAAAAATAAATTTTTACAGTGAAATTACGGAAAATGAACATATGCATTTTATTTCATCAACTTTTCTCAATATTTATTTTAAAAGTACATAATCAACAGGATTTATTATCATCATGTGATATCAAAATTACCATATTTCACATTGGGTCACAGCCACTCGTAAAATATATTTTCATACCACGATGAAAATTTATGTTGTATTTATCGAAAACATCTTGCGTATCCTCTATTATACATTACAAGGTTTATATTATTAGAATAAGTAAAATGAGCGATATATGTTTTACATACGTATGTATTAATTTGTAAACCTCTCAAGACATTTACATTCATAAAGTAGAGTGAAGTTATTATTACACTATTACATAATCATGTAATGCGAACGAAGAAAATGTAAATGTCAACCTAAAGACCATATTTGTCATAATTTATTTGAGAAATATTCAAATTCCAATATTAAACAAAATTTTAACACGACTATTGAACAGAAAAGTGTGTCCAATTTCCGTAAGGCCTAACAAAAAAATGTTTGTTTCCAGTGACATGGTTTTAAAAATAGAGTAGGTAGGTAGGCATTTTGTTATATATTTTTTATATCAAGTGTATGCGACGGAAATATGAATATGCGTCGCAAAGTTTATTATGCAGCGTCAAACAAAAAATGTGGCCTGTTTTCCCTCAAAAAGTTTAGGGTCGGTGGCCAAAAAATAGGGTAGGTAGGGACACCGGAAACAAACAATTCTTTAGGCCTAAGAACCGCAAACACAATAGTAAGATTACACAGAACGGATACGGTATTTTGGTCTAACCTACGCATGTAAAAAATATTTGTATCATAGTTTGGAGACCTTTCTGTTGAAAATGTGTCAGGGTTAAATCGTATACATATACATGCACAGTGCGTTAACTCCAGAGCATGCCCATTGATTGGCTCATGTGGATATTTTTGCTGGGTTTACATATTGTGACGGCAGAGAAAGGGAAAGCGACAAAAATATCATACATTCAATGTTTCGTTCATTAAGCAGTAGTATTAAACATTGGAATTTATCCTAAATTGCCTCTCCGGTTGCTATGTCGGTGGTTTCGCTTCATTTACTATATTAGGTTTAAGATGGTTCTAACATAGACATACAGGTCTGGTCAGCACCAAGTTTTGATTCACACAATAAATATGTTTATGAGAGTCTCAATATTATTTATATTATTCTAATACCATCGATGGGTTCGTATGATAGGTTACAATGCTCACAACAGTTCAATGAAAATAATATGTGTTATATTTGAACAATTACAATCTGTTAATAAGGACTCCTATACATTTCGTTATAATCATTTGATGGCAAATTGTTTTATGTGCATTTAAATATAAGATAAACTACCGATTCTTGATGAGTGTCATATTTTCATATAGATAATATTAGATATCGATACTAGAAGAGAAATAGTTATACCATTTTGAAAACCACTGATTTCCTAGACAGAGACATAGTTTTATGTGAATGTAACTACTTGAAGTTATTTTCTCTATACCTTATGTATTTATAGTATAGCAGATAGTAGTGTATATAAATAGAGTTCATGTTTTATTTGTCAGGACGATATTGATTATTGGAATAGAATATACGATGCTAGGAACACTTAATTTATATCTCAGTCTTATTGTGTATTCTTCATAATACTACAAACTAATTTTTTTTTATGTTTCTCTCATTATAGTATATGGTGGTTTGATTTTTGTTTTTCTCTCTATATATTTAGTTTTAATGTTATTTTGTTTTTTTGTTTATAGATTTTTTTTATTTTATTTTTTTTTTTTTGTTTGGATTTTTTTTCTTTTATTTCTCTAGAATGTATTTTATATCTATTTTTGTTGTTTTTTATTCGATTTTTCAGTTTGTTATATGTTTCAATAATATCAAATTCTCCAATAAATAATTCGAAAACTAAGATATCGATATAAATACCTCGTATTTTCCTTTATTATGATATAGGTTGTGCAGGTAATCCAATCAGAATTTTTTTTTTAAACAAATTCTATTCGAACACGATATCGGTCGTACCATTATGAATTAGGTTGTGCAGGGTTTTTTTCTATTTAAAATTTTCTTTTTTTTTCTTACGTATGATCGTATACTCATAATCGTGATATTGCTTCATTTTCAAATATGCGATGTTTTGCACAGCGTTGCTACACCGCACTTTAGGGTCCAAACGCACTTTGGGGGTCCAACTCCAAAGTGCGTAAACTTCACAGCGCACTTTGAGGTCAAAACGCACTTTGGGGTCAAAATCCAGGAATGAACCCCAAACGTGCGTTGATATGCTACATATTAACGCACTTTTGGTTCCATTGTTCTAAAAAAAGTTAACCGTGTTCTGCTTAAATACTGAGTACTGACTAATTTTTTATCTGCAATTTTGTGTAATATTTAAGGTGAAGTTCAAGATTAACGTAGATACATAACTTTGCAATCGTCGAATTTTGATGTATCAGAAAAAATGTATTTGCTGCTTAATTATTAAATGTAAGTGATAAATATTAATTTTACCACTTTAAATATCGCAAACCTTTTGGCTATAAAAACAAACTAATTTTTAAATGTGTTCCTAAAATAACAAATGTTTCGAAGAAAATTTCTGTTCTGTCATTTACGTGAACAGTTTTGGTGTCATATTAAACTCAAAATTAAATTTAATGGGGAAACCGATAAATTATAAATAAAATGTAGTAAACATCAATTTACTTTCAAAAACATGTAAATAAAATTCTGTTTAAATGACTTATAACAAGTATGTTAGGAGTAACTTTCATTATTGTAGCGCGCGAGGGCTACAGTTGTTCATTTCAAACCTATTTTAACAATTTTCGAGTTTCCGAAATATTTGGACCATATGAACGACCGGAATAACCATAATCACTCGATCAGTAAATGCCTTAAAATAAATGTTTTTTGTTGCTATCTCGTAAACTTCTGCTTTGATATCTAAATGACTTTTACGTATGTCATGGTATTAGTCAGGTATAACATGTTATGTCATGAGAGTAACTGCTTCTATTAGTAAAATATAAAGTATTCTTAGTTAAACATTGTACATTGATATGTCAGTAATGACTTATTTTCGATTTGTGGCCATTTTGAACGCTATCTTAAGACTTAAAATGAAATGACACGAGTGAAATTTAATGCAAACGATTTTTTACGCCACAAGACATTTTTTTTTTTTTGATTCATTGAAATCTTACAAAAATATTTAGGAGAATTGTAAGGTTTTACAACATGTATCTGTTTTTTATAAACGACCAAAAATGCTGCATTTTTTATAAATGACCGCCATATAAAAAAATAATTTCGTATTTTCAGAAAATTAGCTTTTATATATGTATGAAAACAATTCCTGCCATAAATGCACGTGAATTTCATCTTAATATTCACCGTTAACATCTTATGACGTATATATGCTTACGCGTGAGCTGTAAACGTTAGTTGAAAGAATGCTAGTTGAAACCGTATACAGCTTACAAAGATCTATATTTGTTAGTTAGTTTAAATATATTTATTTAGCTCGATTAGGAAATGAGTATTTGCAACTTATATAAATCACATTATAGTCCACTTCCTGATACTAGTGTCATATGAGAAAAAAATGATCGTGACTTAAGTAGGGCTCGTACACATGATCCCTGGGTTGAGGGGCAGACACCTTATAATAAACCACTAGGCAATCACTCCTCTAGTATTCGTAGAAGTACTAGTCGTAGTTGTAATTTCAAAATTAGATACAAATGTGTAGCAGTCATATTCTATGTCGCTGAAGCGTTGATCGTACTCGCAGTCGTCGATGCAGTCATAATCGTATTCACCTATTTGTAGTCGTAGATGTCGTAGTAATGGTTTATAGTCGCCGAATGCTGAAAGTATTGGCGTCATAACAGCTCTTGACTTGTAAATGACTTCGTGGTCTTTACCAAAAGTAGTCGTTGTCTTAAAATCGGTCGAAGGTCGTAGTTTTCAAAGTCGTAACCGTACTTCCGAAATTTTTTAAGTCTTTTGTACCTGTAGTCGCGCCCTGTAAGTTGAAGCTGTATTGGTAATCGTATATGTCTAGAATACTTGTGGCCGCCGTCATCGTCGTAGTATTAAACGACTAGTCGTCGTGTAAGTAATGATCGAAGTCTTGGCTGTAAAGCAATCGACAAGTCGTTGTCGTAGATCTTGGCAAATTCTTTAAAGTCGTAATCTGTAATAGTCGTAGTAGTTAGTCGCA